GCTGAGGGGATTGGGATCATAAAAATGTTAAGGCTACACAGTAATAGCGAGGAATGATTAGAGCATGAAGGTTCACCATCTGAGACTTTATAAGAGGTGTGGATTATTTTTTTTTTAATTTTAAAAAGGCACCTTCATTCTATTGTTTCTCAAAGAACAAAGTCTGTCATGAAGCACTGCTCCCCCTTGAACCGAATGGTGAGAACACGTCCCTCGGTTCATTCCCTTCTCAGCCTGTCTACCCAGATCTGCTGTGGGAGGGACCAGGACCTACTTTGTTTTGTGAAAGCTAAACATTCCCACCGTCCCTGAATGCAGCCATTAGCAGAGCATGGCTCCTCTTATAAACAGTGTATGAAAGGCTATAAACAAAGCTAGGAAAGTATATGAAAGGCTGCAAGTAAGGCTATTTCAGGTCTACCTTTAGTTTAAACTACAGTTACTAACACCATACTGTCTTTCTCATTGGTATCTTTTGTCTTTGTTCCCCTTAGCAAGAGCACAGAGACTAAAGAAATGGAAAAATTCACTCATCTGGAAGCTCTGCTGTTTACTGCTGTGCTGGAGAATTGTGTTGATCAGCTCTCAATTCTTGGATATATCATGCCAGTTTCGTATGAGGGCAAGACAGACATCAGCCATGTATGTGCCTCTGTCCTTACTCTTTAAAGAAATCTCTTTTGGTTTTCTTCTTGTCTTGGCTTTATGTCTTCTAGCAGCATTTTTTAAAAATCAACTCAGATATTTTTTCTGCAAAGTGCTCCATGACCCTTGGGTGAAGAAACACAATAAAAGTATGTGGATGACCAACTTTAATAATTATACTGCAGCATCACTGAGAAGTCTTTGTCAAGACTTTGTGCAAAGGGCCCTCCTGACCCAAAATGAAGTTCCTGGGCTTACAATTTCAAAATCATGGTGGTTAGATGACAAGCAAAGAATAAGGGAAAAGGAAAGAAAACATATCTAGGTTCTTATACAGATACGCGGCTTTTTTAAAAATGCAAGAGAATAGGTTATTTGGAAATGCTCAAAACCAGGGTTTGTCCATGCTAAAGTTCCTTTAGTCCCCACAGACAATGAATTAAGAAAAATTCCACTTCAAAATATATTAGTAACTTCCCATTCTTAATGACCATCATTAATTAGTTGATTTCTAATAGGCATCATAACTAAGAGGGTTTGGGCAGAGATATAAAGAACAGAGAAGAAGCCCTAATACTCAGGCAGAGCTTTGTTGCTGTGGAGGAAAAGTGGGATATTTCTAGTCCCTGGTAGACATAGGAAACAGGATGGCACCATCCTGAGCGGTAAATGGTTCTGAGTTCTGTTATCATATATTTTCAGTAACATAGGCTGTTTCCAGTTTAAGCAGGTTTCAAACTCTTTTATAAGAGGAACTGAAAAAAAGCGTGTGACAAGGATGGAAATAAAAACTGGGTTCTGACTTTTCAGATCTAATGCTGTTGACTCTGTCTAATATACCACTTAGAAATTCAAGAGGAAGTTAAATCAATATGTTGTTTTCTACGTGCTTCCTTTCCATACTACCTACTTTGCAAAAAATCCATTGCAAAGCAGCAGAAGCTGGTGTTACTGTAAATTTCAGGGCGCGAACGATACTTAGATTGTGCAATAGAGGGCACTCCTCCCCTTAAAACAGTCCTGTGAGCCAGCCTCACCTGTTTCCAGAGGATGCTTCTCCCTCACAGAGCTGGGTGGGAAACCTCTGCTGTGCCAGCAGCAAAAACACAGAGAAAGAGCATCTCTCTAGCACGGCAGGAGTTGTTCTCTTTCAGACACACAGACTCACGTTGATAGACCTGCTAAAGGTACACTTTAATTATAGATAAAACACCTTAGCTTTTCTCTTCAATCACAGATGCTCATTTTTTCCAAGTCACTTCTTAAAACGCAATTTTCTCCCAGACTATAAACCCTACCTGTATTGCTAAAGATGATGTTGTTAAAGAAAGCAAGAAGGAAACAATTTAGAAACAAGAAAATGGCTTAGAGAAGCTACTTGCTAACCTTGTTGCTCTGTAATTTGCTACTCCTCCCTGTTTCTCAGTTTACATTTGGCTGTTATTGTTGGATTTGTAGACAACCTGTATTTGCAAAGCACCCTGGAGCTCTGTCAGTTCAACAAATCAATGACATTTTCAGAAACTGACATCTAAGTTTCAATTGATGACATTTTTGAGAGGATTAATTACAGTGTTGGCCAGCACCTCATTGATTTTCCAAATCTGGGATTCTTGTACATAGCTTCACACAGTGCATCCCCCAGAGGAAGGCAGCCTTTCTATTTGCTGAATTTTGGTCAAAAGACTAGCAAAAGATAAACAGCTAGGAAATTACGCAGATGGCAACACATGCAGTTTACAAACTCCTTGCGCTTACATAGTTATTTGGTAATTGTTAGTGTGTTAGTCCCTGCTGTTTACAGACAATCCAGTTACAGCCTGTCTTGAACTTTCCCAGACATTAAATCTACCAAAACATTTGTAAAATCTACATGATATTAAAGCAGTTTCTTTGCCAAAATTAGTTCTTTCTGAAGTACAGCCATCACCAGCAAACTATTTAAACCCTTTCTTTTCTAATTAACTATGTAATTTTCATTGGTCTGTGTATACTTTGCATGCAATTCATTTAATGTAAATTTAACTGTCCAAAAATTACGCGTGTAGTCACCTAGACTCCTTCTGCAGTCAGCGGTGACTCAGGCACTGCCAGAGGCTGATTCATCCCATCCGGAGGTGTCCAAGATACTCAGAACGAAGCAGCCCCTCGCAGTGCGCTGCAGATTGCCCTCACAGACTACAGCACCATCGCAGACCACTAACAGAGCCTCGCTTGACGAGTAACTCCTTGGAAGTACTACTGGCATACACAGTTGCTGCCCCGACCACTTGTTTTTACTTTGCCCTCTGTGCTGTGTTGGCACAAACATGCGTGTGGTTGTGCAGGGATCTGGACTGAGAACTGGTGCTGCTAAAAATAAACTTTCTTTTTTTTCTTTTTTCTTCTTTTTTTCTCCTTTTTGCTGGAAAATGTTTCAGCTCAGTGAGTTCTCTAATCCATTTCCCTAAGCAGCCAGGGTGGGCAGTAGGCAGCTATGGACTGGGACGGGGCTGGCCGTGACTGCATTAGCTGGCTTCAGCAGTACTGCTAAGTGTTCAGCCACAGACATATCAGTAGAAAGGCAAGAAAATTTTCTCTTTTAATGTCCCAGTGTATACACCTGCATTCTTACCTATAGCACATAAAGCAGAGACATTCCTAGAAGCAAGGGCCTCAGCTGATTTTATAGTGCGCTTTTGCTTTTCTGGGGCTTTTTCTCTTTTAATAAAATTGCACATGGCCACAAGATACCTTTCCATGTAGAAGAGAGCTGCCAATATTTTGAATTTCTTCTTTGAATTCCTATGATACTTCCACTGCTGTCACTCTTTCAAAAAAAAACCAGCTAAGCAGATAGCTGATGTCTATCACTTATTTCCACACAATATATTATTGTTATAACAATAATACTGCAGGGAAAGGTCACGGTGATAGACAGTGGGAGATGGCTAAGATGGAGGGGCAGAGGGGAAAAAGGCTAACAGCCTTCCAGTACATAACAGCTGCTGCAAAGAAGGAAGGAGTGATTTGCTCTCTGTGCCTACAGAGACTAGGACAAGAAGCCAGGGGCACAACTGCAGCTGAAGAGAAAAAACTATCTTATGGTAAAGATTGTTGTGATGTGCTGGCACTGGCAGGAGGGCGCGTAGTCTCCATTGCTGGAGGTCATTGAGAGCGTCAGGAATTTCACAGTCTGAACCATCATCTCTTGGGGCAGATGGATTCAATTTTGAGGCCTTTTCTAGTATTGTCACTTTAGGACTTCTGATTCCATAAACTTTAATAAGCCTACATTGTGTGCTCAAAACTAACCGAGATAAACGTTTCTGCTCTTCTACTCTTTGCAGAATGTAACATACGCTATCAACTGCTCTTAGTATGGCTTCATTCTAGTTTATTGTTAGTTTTTCTTCCTCTCACTTGATGTTGCAGAGCGTTAATTTCTACTGCTCAACATGCAACCAGGTGTCTCTTATTCCCTTTTAGACTGGCAGCCAGGAAATTAAAGAAATCATAGAGAACCAGAAGGAGCTGGACATCAACAGCCAAGAGCTTATGTCAGCAAGGCAAGGGAGTGGGGAAACAGTTACCTCCATGTCTCTGAAAAGCATCGAACACAAGGAGCAGCTGGGGAAAACTGAAGATCTAAAAAGCGCCCATCATTTTTCCAACAGGGCCATGAAACACAGTGCTCTGTCTGTAGAGAATCTCAGAAAAATTCAGGCTGACAGGTGAGTGAAGCACAAATATGACTACTGTGGGGGATGATCAGAGCTGTAAAGTTCTCAGTCTATCTCTTGACAGCAAAAATACAAGCTTCCTGCTCTCCCACTGCTGGTGTACCTCAGTCTTGCTCTGGAAGGCCATTTAGTTCTGGCCTTTGCTTGCCTCTGGATGCCAAGTAATGATAATCAGTTTATTTTGAATGAATTAACCAGTTGATAATGGTTCCTTGGCTGGAAGTCATGCCCGGTACTAGCCAGTGCTGATGTTCTGGTATCTGGAGTCAGGTTTCTCTAGCAGATATGTACAGCCAAAGTGGGATCTCAGCATTGTCTCATGAGCTCAGTTATTCTGCAGGGCACACAGAGCCTCTATGGCAGCTACAGCCATCCTCCTTTATAGAACAGATAATACATAAAGACCAAAGGATTATTTTTTTTTAAAATAAATTTTATTCCTGCACCCAATCCTGCACCTGATTTGCAGAAATACCAGCAGCCTTTGGTTTAAAAGACAGTCCAGGGAGCTGAGCATTCAGTATGCGTTTTTCTGCATTCTGGTTTCTGTCCTTTAATGTTATTTCAACGACGGACTTAAAGAAGATCCTAACACAAATGAGGGAAATGCAACTAAATTATAAGTACCATACGCACAACGAAATTCAATAAACTGAGCAAGCCCCTGTATTTGTTAAGATCAGCTTAGGGCTGTACTAGGATATTTTGGCACCCAGATATCCCTTCATAGACACACTTGTCTGCATCCCCAGGTCTCATTTTCTAAGAGCCACCTGTCTGTCATTACTACTGCAGAGCAGCAGCCTTCTTCTTAATGGCAGCACAGTCTGGCACAGCACGGATACGTTTGTGCCTCTTTGCTATTTCCTAGAGTAGAATTCAGGGCAGCATTTTTAAATTATAAACTTCAACCAACTCCTAATACAGGGTTCTCAAGATGTACAAGAAGCAGATACCATGGGAGAAGCACTCCTGAGTATGATAGGACATAAGAACAGAAATGGAATCTTATATTTCCTTACCTTTTTAGCTGTAAACAATAATGTCTAAAGGTGCCAGACTGTAGTACCAGCACCTATAAATTACTCTTGTGGGTTTTTTTCTTCCTGGCAGGCAGTATGCAAGTGATGTAATTACAGTCACTATGAAAAAGATGCAGGAATCGGGAACATTTAATAGCCTAACAGAAGCTAATGAGAGAGAGAAGGAAAAAAAGACCAAGTTTCATGACATCCTCATCAGGTCAGTGTTGTGTTCAGTACTTCCCTGCTTAACTGCTGAAAGTCAAAGCCCATTCTTGCTCAGTACATGCTAAAAAGGAAAAAGCCCCCAAAATACAGAAAGGATTCTGCTTTTTCAACTTGAACTAGTCTGTCTGCTTTACAAACTGCACTTCTTCCCCGTTCAGAAAGAAATCACTGACGGTTCTGATACTGATTGGAGCTAGGAATTGCCTGAGCTTTGACCACAGTGGACACCAGCGTCTGCAATAATGCAAATGCTACCCCATATCAATTAAAACATAATATGATGTAGGAGCTCCCTGATCTTTAACTCTTGTCCCCAGTGAAAGCCAGAGCAGCAGAGAATCTGTTCAAACCAGGGCCAGCAACATATGGTCTTTAGGTTATGTGATGCCCAGGAGAATCTGCTCTGACCCATATGCTAATATGCTCCCTTTTCCCAGTAGCAGCAAGGGGCTAGAACAGATGGTGGCAGAGGCAGTTGTCTTATTTAAGGCTAATCCACCAGCCACTGCACTATAGATCCTCTTCTGGCCCAAATCTTACAGAGTACGGATTTATTATCATCTCAACTCAAACTGGCAATTCCTTAGTTCAAACTTCTGTGCGCTAAAGGTTTGGAGTTTTTTTAGTGTGGGAAGCTCTGGTTCAATCCCAAGCCTGTCAGAGAGAATAGCAGTCATCAGAGAAGTATTTGACTATTTTAAAGCTACTTTTTCTATGCAGCAGCTCAGGCCTATCATTCAGAGTAGACAGCAAATCTGCTGTAAGTCATGATTTGTCATGAGTCCAACCTACCGGAACAGCTCCGATGTGGCTCAGGGGGCTGCCTCTGGGGGAAGTCCCCAGCTTCCAGTGAAATGTGTGATTTCAAGCACAAAACCCAACTCTTCCACTGTCTAAACCCAAGGGATTTATTGTTTATCCATGGAAGGGACAGAAAGCAAAAATGAAAGCAGCAATTGCTTGTGGAATAACTATCCAATACTGGAAGGTGGAAAGGAGCAGACGAATTATAATTGGAAAAGACATAATCCTTTTTATTCCAGCCACTATGTTGTCTGTTCTACTATACATTCTTTTCATGGAATGAACTTGATCTGTCTTTCAATACAATATATACTTGCCTGTTTTTTTGTCAATATACTAGTCTGAAAGCAGCCTGCAGTAAGACTGGAACTCCTTATCAGGAGCTTTTGTTCATCATGATCACCCAGCTAAGGACTCTGAAAACAAAATGCATGTTTGATTGTAAGGTTGGGATAGGGTACAAAGTCTCAGGTACCAACTGTAGTATTTACGGGCTTTAAATCAAATCATACACGCAAAAACTTAGAAAAGCACTCCAAGTGAAATAAGATAATAAAACCTAAACCAAAACATATCTGTTTTGTTTTAGACAGGTAAACACCTCTCTAGCTTTTGGCCTTCACTCGTATCCCTTCATGGATCTCAGAACCTGAGGCAGTGTTTTCTGAAAGATTTTAAGTCTGTTATAAAAAAAAAACCATTCTCCATACATATAATGAAACTTACACAATTTGGCACCATCTGCTGATTAGGCATGCTTCTGCACAGAATCAGGGAGATTTTTGCCTGAAATGCAGAAACTGGCTGAATTACAGGCATCTTCCCTCTCTGCTACATCATCCTTAAGTGTGCTGCAGGCTTCCAACAAGAGCATCCCCTGTTTTTTGGCTTGTTCTCCCTTTTATTCCCATCCTCCTTGCTCAGTCCGTGCGCCTCTTCTTTCAGGATTTACTTACCAAGTCACCAGATTTGGCGAGAAGTCTCTGTTTCCAACTTGCAGAAGTGCTGCCTCCCTGAGGCTCAGAGTGAAGAGATGAATGCCTTTTTTGCTACTTAGCCACAGGAAGCTGCTTGTCTTCTCCTGGTCTGAAGAAGCAAGCCAAGCTTTTGTGTGCACTTCTTTAAGTTCAGCTGCTAGAAATGCATTATTTGAGCAGGGTAAGTGGGGCAGCACTCAGCTAGGTGCCGTAATGTATCAGGAGACAGGAAGATCCCATTTAAGTAAACAGCTCTTGTCTTTCTTTATATATTCAAGTGATTGTATTTTCCCATTTTTCTTCAGGGAGGAGGAAGGAAAAAAAGAAATAAAGTCACTCGAGAAACAGCTGCAAGATGTCAAGAAACAAACTGAAATAGAACTTCAGGTGAGATCACTTAGCACTGGGCATCAGGCCAGGGGGGAAACCTGTTAGCAAGCTCGCCTCTGCTGCCTAGGAACTAGCACTCAGATGAGAGGACGTGTGGCATATATAGTGATCCATCATTTAGGAATATAGAAGCAGAATAACTGCAAGAAAGATTTGTATTCTCAAAAAGCCTGCTAATGACTTTAAGACCAGAGTCCAATGGTTTTCAAATGGTAGTTCAAAATGCTCATGAGAGACCATGATCAAATTAGAAAAACCCCAAAACACTGCTGGGAGTGGCAAAGCATGGACATCTGCAATCAGTAAGGAAGAGGGTATCTGCAGATAGCAGTATCTAGGGTTCTGTCATGCCTACTTATGCAGATGTGACACCTGGCACAGAAGAAAGTGTGACAATGAGGGAGAAAGACAGACACCTGGCATAGGGGCATGTCATTTTTCTACTTACAATTTTGTTTGGAGAAAATGTCATTATTTTAATCTCCTTTTCTAGGCTTCCAGAGATTAGAAAATCCCAAACATGGGAGTCCTATACAAGGGCAGATCAATATTATTGCACATACACTGTCAACTTGATCTATCTGGAAAGCTTCAGCCCTTCTGTCTGCAGCATGCAAATACTGTGTGCAGGCACAGTAAATCTGGGGCATTCTAAAATGTCAGACTTGCTACACAGTACAGATCAATTGAATGGCATATCACAGGTCACTTTGATGCTCACCAGACAGCTCAGACTTGATGCTCATGCATGCTTTAGAGCAAAAGCACATACAGTTCTGTGCAGAAACATGGAAACGCAGCCTAGCCTTG